TACTATCAATGATGAACTTGTGTTCTGACCCGATCTCAATGTAGTCTAATGAATGTGTCATGATCCGATCTCATTTGTAACTTCCCTATCTTACTAAGTACTGAAAATGCCTTAGTGAAGGGTGATATAACTTCTCTAAGTGATGATACTTCAGTTCTTTGTCAAATCGGTTAGTAAATTGTTACCTCAACTCTTCAATATGTTAATTAGTCCGATCTTCTGTTATTAACCGATTATTGGTAAATGGCGCTTCATGTTTACTTAAGTGATTATCATTCATATACTCAAATGTAAACGGCTCAACACAATAGAAAAGAAGAAGCGACAATACTTAACAAAAAATTTTCATTTCATTCATTTGCAATTGGATTACAAAAGAGGCCCAAGCCATTACAAAAATTGATTAACTCTATTCTACTAGGGCATCTTTCGGCCCAGCCTCCGCCTCGCCTGTCCCAGGGGCCTCTGGAGCGTCCTCGACAAACCTATCAGGCCGACCTCTAGTAGGCCCACCGAACTCTACTTCTAACGAGGATATGTTCAGAGTAGGATGGACATCTTTCAGCCGACCCAATAATCCTTGGGCACTCCAGGAGCCTAGAAGTTTGTAAAGTCGTCATACAGAGGGTGCTCTCGAAGTGGTCGATGAAGTTCTGTACAGCCACCTCCCCTGACGATTTAACTCCTCCCTCAGAGAGGCGATCTCCTCAGCTTGGGCATCTGCTCTCTGCCTTAGCTCCGCCTTTTCTTTATTACAGGCCTCCAGAGCCTACGTGGCGAGCTAGTAGTGCTCGTTTGCATGATCAACCCTTCGGGTAATAGCAACCACCTGGCACTCCACTTCATAGAGCTCCTTCTTCAGCCGCTTTATGCCCCCCTTGGCAGTTGCTAGCTCGGCCTCAGCCTCATTCCTTCCTCTCTCTTCCTCCTCAACCTTGGCCCTGGCCTTCCTCACTACGTCACCATATTGCATCGCCTCTTCAAGGTGCTTAGTGAGGTCCTCCCTCTTAGTGTTGAGGTCTTTCACCAAGCCCTCAAGTTGGATGCTTGTGCTTAAGGCCTGGGCCACACAAGCACTGTTGGCCACAACCAAGTCCTCGACAGTGCAGGAGGTGATGTGGTCTCTCCATTCCTCGATCCAATACTTATTTTAGACCACCGCCACCATAGCCATCTCTGGAGGAAGAGCCTCCAGCACTTCTTTCACTGGCTCCTCTGAATTGGTGCCCAAGAAGTCCACCTCCTTCGAGGGACGAGCCCTTTTCCTCTTTGGCTGCCCCGACACTTGGGCAATGGGCACAGCAGCTACTGACGATGTGGCCGGGGTAGGAGAAGCCTCTGATGGCGCAAGCATCTTCTCCGAGATAACCACCACAGTAGGAATTGTTGTCTGCCTCAGAGTCGGAGGTAACCTCGCCACAGTTGGGAGATTCGAGGGGGTAGCAGGCTTCTTGCCCTTCCGCAGCAGATTTGCGTCTGGGTCCTCGGCCACCTCCTCTTCGGTCGGAGCCTGGAGCCTTTGCTGGCCTCTACCAGATCCTCCATCTACTTTTTGTACGCAAATGAGGAGGTCTTCAGGGCTCTCGCCTCTGCCATCATCCGTTGGATGGTTTTGAAGTCTGGCCTCAGAGACATCTTCTTGTTAAAGTTATCTGCAAGGGAACACGTACTTTAGTACAAGTGTAAACAGTTCAGAAAGTGCTGAAAGATATTCGCTTAGGGACATTTACCTTGGGAAGCCATCAAGTCGTGTCGTCACGAAGTGGATGTTTTTTCTTATTAGCTGGTGGTATGATCTCCTCTTTAGAGGCAGCTGGTAAATGATATAGATGATGTCGAAGTCGTCGGTGGATAACTCACACCGAGGAAGAATGCCTTGAAAAACAAATAAAGTAGTTAAGAACCGAACCGAAGAAGAATAAACAAGAAACACAAAGTCATAGTACTCACTAAGTGTTGAATACTTCGTGGGGACCGTAAGAGGCACCAGGGAGTCTCCCTCCATTGTGTCCTATCTCCTAGCAGCCCAGCACCACGAGCTCTTTCACTCCTTAATGGAGCTCGGTAGATCAAGCACGAATGGAGTGTGGGAACTCCATGAGGTCAAGTAGTACCAGTCCCTGGTCTTATCCCCCCCAGCCGCTACCTTGGGAATGTAGAGGATCTGGAATAGAGAAAAATGCATCTATACCCCAAGCGACGCCTCTTTCCACAACATCCAGGAGCCCACCATTTGGCTCCAGGAGTTCGGGTTCAATTGGGTAGGAGCTAGGCCGTATGACCTAAGTACCAGACAGAAGAAAGGATGGATTAGGAGCCTAAGGCCAGCCCTAAGGATTGTCTCGCTGATTGCCACGTACCTCGGCCTAGGGTAGCAAGCCCGCTCATCAGGTTCAGGTAGGATCAGATCTACACTATCTAGGATCTTATATTCAGCCCTAAGTCTTTCCAGGTTGGCACCCTTTAGCTTAAAGGGGTAATCTGACGCCCCCCAATGCACAGATGTGTCTACTGGGCTATCTGGTCTCTTCCATATGTTCTTCCCCCAATAATCACTTCAGCTATTTCAGAGGAGGTCGCCAAAATGGACTCGTCCATCCTCACTAGTTCCAACCCCCTCCCCGAGCTACCACTACCCTCAGAAGCCATTTTCAGAAATGAAAAGTTTCAAATACTTACTGAAACTTTCGAAATGGAGTGTCCCGCAGTCAAATATGGTCAAGAAACAATGTGAGTCGCCAGAAACTGGGATTTCTCATCGGAAAGTACTTGAAGAACATCGGAAAATGCAAAGATTTTGAGAGCAAATGGGGTTTTTGATTTCGCAAAAGTGAAAAGCTCCAAAAATGCTCAAGTCCGCCTTTTATAGAGTGTCCTAACCATTGAATTCAAATGCAATCAATCTAGGCCGTCCATCGCATCATCAATCTAGGTCGTTGAAATGAAAGGCCAAATTTGATCTACGCCTAAGATCTAGCTGTGACCTTCACGTTCACACGAAACTCGTTGCCTCGATCACCATCAGCCGTCTACAATAAGTAGCCACAGCAGCCTTTTTTGGGAATGGGTATCGCACCCAACTATCGCCTTGGAAATACATGACAGTTGTCAAATCATTTAACGTCAAAGATGCCCGCCTCAGATCGAGCTCTTCACTCAGCTTTACAAAGCTTAGACGCACCCGACACGGAGTCCCCTAAGGTTCATCACCTAGGTAGTTACGTTCCCTCCTAGCTTTAGCCATCTCCCAACGTATCGTCCCCTGTGGGTCAGTGCACCAGTGGCAGATGAGCTCCTCACTCAGCTTTACAAAGCTTAGATGCACCTGACGCGAAGTCCCCTGTGGGTCATCGCCTCAGTAGCTGCGTTCCCTCCTAAGCTTTACAAAGTTTTAGCCATCTCCCAACGCATCATACCCTATAGGTCAGCGCACCAGTGGTAGATAAGCTCCTCACTTAGCTTTACAAAGCTTAGACGCACCTGACGCGGAGTCCCCTGTAGGTCATCGCCTCGGTAGCTACGTTCCCTCCTAAGCTTTACAGAGCTTTAGCCATCTCCCAACGCGTCTTCCCCTGTGGGTTAGCACACTGGTGGTAGATAAGCTCCTGACTTAGCTTTACAAAGCTTAGACACACCTGATGCGGAGTCCCCTATGGGTTATCGCCTCAGTAGCTACGTTTCCTCCTAAGCTTTACAAAACTTCGGCAGTCTCCCAACACATGGTCCAGTTGGCAACACATCGATCTCAGATAAGTTCTTTCCTTACACAGTAATGAATCTTTAGCACGTCTACCTAAGGTCAACGCTTCGATGAACATAAAAAACCGACCCACAAGTTCTCACAAATTACGGTCCCTATCCCGAGGCAAACATACCTAATCGGGAAAACAAGTCCACCTATGATATAAATATTTATGCTTGAACTTGGGGGGACCACTGTTACACCCCTACCTGAACCACTTCAGAAAGTCTACCACCGCATTATACGAGGTGTTCAACACCCATTCGAAGTGGTTCCAAAGTGACGCCACCACCACTGTTATCGATCTGCTAACGCACTGCGAGGCACAGACAATCTACTGAACCGACCGAATCGTTCTCACCCATGAAGCAGAGGTTCCGTACATTCCGAGGTTCTCTGTTAGAGGATCCGCCGCCAATTTCAGAAAAAGATCTATGTCAAAATCCTTTCTGCCCCTAAGGTTTAATTGATTTGACATCTTCATGAGCCTAGTTGATGTGACGTATCAACTTTATGTCAACTCAACTCGAGAGAAGTAATTATCCGCCCACTCTATAGACGCGGATGATTGAAGCCTATGAGCAGACGCCTGATACCGTCAGATGCATACACGTGTCCCACATCTAACAATTCTCCTCACCTATAAATACCCAAGGTTTGACAAGAGGCAAAGGTAATTAAACTCTTACAACATAGCTTTCCATAACAAGCAAATATATATTCTCCTCTCCACTATTTTGTACTACCTTGGTATTGTTCCGATCACCTGAGGCTAACTTGACCGTCGGAGTGTATGCGGCTGCCACCACCCCTGGTGGTTCCGACCGTGTGCATCTGAAGAAATACGTGGAGTAGCTATCGGTTGGCCACGTGGAGGGTCCAATTTGCGAGGTCAACACATTACACCTGTACTTACACAAGATATAAAGAGATAGAGAGAGAAGATTTACATAAAAGATACGAGTCTATCCGAATTTTTCAAGCTATGGGTCTGAGCAATTTTTCTCTTGTTTCTGGATCTACGATTTCCATTTTGTTCAATTTCCTTGTAAGATAAGACACCAGCTCTTTGAATCTTAAAAGTTTAAACCCTTTGAATTTCAACCACTTTCCTTAATTGTATTTTCTCACTGCCCTTCCGTATTCTTTCTTTAGGGTTTGTTTGTGTTGGTAGAATTAATTGTTCTGTCCAAAATCTGTTTTTAGATTTATTTGAAGAGTTGATTTGTTAATCTTTTATGTTTTCTCTTTCTTGAAAATGGAGAAAGATCAAGAAAATCAGCCGGATTCAATCATGGAAGATGACCAAGATTCAGACGTAACTGAGATGGTGGCGCCGCCGTATGTTCCCGCCAACAAACTACTGTGGGTGAAGATCAAGTTTCCAAACATGAAAAAAAAAAGCATGGAGGAAGAAGATATGGAGGATGGCCCAAAAGTGAAGGATCATTTCCGTTTGGAGTTCAAAAAGAGATTTAGCTCCGGCAAGGCATTGGGTGGTCACATGAGCAGTGCTCATGTTCAGGGCAACAAAGACTTCTCCCTCAAGAAGTTGAAATCAAAGAAAAAGAGGCAACCGAAGCAACTTGTGGGCTTAGGTTTTCCTTCTGGCTATGGCGAAAAAAATATTTGTAAAATCTGTTATAGGGAATTTCTAACAAAGAAGTCCTTATTCGAGCACGTGAGGAGCCATCCTGACAGGGAGTGGAGGGGGATGAAGCCACCAGATGAAGCAGCGACAAATTTTTTCGAGCCGGAATTTGGGGCTATGAATGAGGTACCTTCACATGTTCTTGATGGTGATCAGGTTTGATTTAGGTGTTGTGATGGCTTTTGCGGTGGTGGGTTTGAATGAATCTGTGAAGTGAGAGGCAAGCGCGGTCGGTCTCCAACTAAGCCAGTCATTGATTCCCCGCCTCGTTCGAGTTCAATGGAAATTTGATGAAGGAGGATTCGAGTCGAGTGATGCAGACTTGTCAGATAGCACGATGATGGCGCTGAGATACCATGAGATAGCGGATCGGCGCAAAAATGGAAAGTGAATAGCAATTATTTCCTTGATTGGGGGAATTTGACACGTCTTTGGTAATTTGGCCATAACTTTGGCTACGGTTATCAGAATCGCTATTATAACCCCAATTCAGAAAGCTCTATTCGACGCGCACGTCATCGCCACCCAGCTATGCTCGGTGGGCATTAATTTCGAGTCCAAAATCCACTATTTTCTTTTTCTAAATTCAATTTTTAGTTATTTTTTGCTATTTATGGTAATATTTCATTTCCCTTTTTTCATATGTTAGAAAACTCGAATTGAGCAAAATTTTTGGCAACCTACTTCTTTTACTTAATATTTTATTCTTGTGTAATTTCGGGATTTTGCCATTTTTGATAATTTTCCTATAATTTCGTATCTTGCATCTATTTAACCCAGCTTGTGGGTTAATTTTGGTCATTCTGCATTATTAATAATATTGAGTTGATTTCAAAGTATTTTCTTTGATTTTTGGGCGTTTTCTTTCGCTTCTTTCTTGCGAATCATTTGCTACAACAAACCAAGAGGATAATCACTATCCTACCCAGCGTCAAAATTCTAGCTGTTCAACAGCTCACAAGGCTTGTCAATAGAGATTCTAAACCTAGTGAAGATCGGGATTCCAAGGTTAAGGAAGGTGCCATTAGCAGCAATTATTGCACTCCTGAGGATGAAACTGATGATGCTAATCAGGACTTTCATTTGAATAAGAACAGAGAGAACTTGTTTCCTGTCGGAGATGAAAGGAACTCTCATGTTAAAAAGCTGAAAGTTTGGGAAAGAACTGATGAAAACCCTGGTGGTACACAATCCGGGAGAGCAATTGTAAAGGAAAGGGAAAATTGATTCCTGGATACGATACTGAAAATTCTACAAGTTCGGATTCTTCATCTGACGAGTTTAACTATCCTTATGTTTATCGTACTAGTAGATCTAGGATAATCAAAATAAGGAATACAAAAAGAAGATATCAATGGAACCAGAATCGCCACCAAATTTCAGCCCTATTGGACGACGGCCGAATCTGCCCCTCCGGCTAGGACACCTGATAAATACATTTGCAGCACTTGTCGCGTGAGTTATCCAACACCCCAAGCACTAGGTGGCACAGATCAAGCCACAAAAAGTTCAAGGTGAAGATTTACTACGCCATTGATGATCCGTCTTCAATTGGAGCTTCTTATATTAAATATGTATCAAAAGCCAATGCTATCAAAGAATTGGAAGTAAGTAAAAATGCAGCTTTAAGCTTAAAAGCAGTTCATTAAGATTGTATGATTTGTAACAGTAATGTCCATTCTTGTCAGTCTCTTGGAGTTCAAAATCAATGCCTCTGCACTAGTGAGTGCAATCGTTCTGATCATGTTACATCTACAGACGAAGCGAAAAAAGAGAGAACAGTTTACGATTTCGACCTCATTGTGACGCCTAACGATGATGGCGAAAAGGGGATGGAGCCTGATAATACAGCTAGTTAGATGATGTCCATTTGATCTTATTATTGAACTTTTAATCCTAAAATTTCTGTATTCAGTTCCTATACTTTTGGCTGTCACAGTCTATGTGTTTTCTATAGTTATTCATCTTGCACAATTTTAGGAAATATTTGTTGAGTCTGGTTTGTGTGATATATACATTCGGGTGTAGGCCGATGCCTGCACTCAACTTTGGGCTGCCCCAACAAAAGAATTGCTATGTTTGCATTGCCGGCGGAGGAGGGCAATGCAAGCACTTAACTTTGTATAACTGTGAATGAAGTTGCAATATCGCCTTTTTGTGAAGTTCTGGAGACTTCATATTTACTCTCATTTCTTGAAGCAAGAATTGAATAATATGTAGAATTCGTTGTCCACTGCCATTCTACAGATTTCTAGGAGAAAAGTGGGTGAGAGAAAAATGCCCACCACCATTCTAAAGATTTTTGGGAGAAATAGTGTGTGAGAGAAAAATAGGCTGCCGGACAAAATTAGTAGAAGTATTTTCCACTTTATGAAATATTGAATTATAGAAGTGGAAAGTGTGGTTTGTCATTCTTGCCAGGAAGAAGGGAAAGCACATTTTATAATGAACATATTTGGCGAGATTTTCAACCTGGTTTACTCTTTTTTGGATACATACAGTTAAGTTTAGGGAATAGTTTTACAAGTCTCTTTGTGACAAAGAGATTTTTTTTTTTTTTTTTTTTTTTTTTTTTTTTTTTTTTTTTTAAAATATAT